CTTTTCTTTACTCAAACAAGCAAATAAAAAATCCTTACCTCAAGCAAACAAACGTGTAAAGTGTAACTCCTGGCTCTTGAGCTACCTCACCATGTCTGACAAACGCCTCTCAGTGGGTGGTTGGTGGGTGCTTTGGTGAAACATCTGTCGTCCTTATCTCCTCTTCTTCTTTTTTATGTTTGTTACTCTCTTGTAACACCTCTAATCTTCTGGCGCTCATATGACCTTATGCAGTTGCGGGCGCCGTAAAACCTCTACTAAAACTAAACTAAAAACCTGTGTTCTGTCCCCGCGTGCCAGCATGGAGATGAGTGAGCTGCAGGAGCTGTGCCAACACACCCTACAAGACTTCAATCTATGCATGTTCTACGAGCCCCAGCACCAGATGCCAACGGCCGACTGCGGCGACGTGGACGACCCCCTGGAGGATGGCGAGGAGGCGGACGGTTCAGGCGACCCCGGTGACCCCATCTCCTTCCTCTATCTGGACAACGGGATTGTGTTCAAAATTGTCTGCTGTCTCATGTGTACCATACAACTTCTGGAGAAAACTGGTAACTGATTGGTTTTTTATCTGTTGTTATAGTGAACTTTTTCTTGTTTCGGTGTATGTTCAAACATTTGGAGAAAACTGGTAACTGACAGGGTTTTTTTTATCTGTTAGAGATCTAGTGAACATCTATCTTTCTTATCTCCCCTCCTTCTTTTTTATGTTTGTTACTCTCTTGTAACACCTCTAATCTTTTGGCACTCATATGACCTTATACAGTTGCGAGCGCCATAAAACCTCTACTAAAACAAAACGTCATTAATGTCACGTTGTCTTTGTTCATTTTTCTCACGTTGCAGGCTCCATTAATGTCACGTCTTTGTACATCTTTCTCACGTTGTCTTTGTACATCTTTCTCACGTTGTCTTTGTACATCTTGCTCACGTTGTCTTTGTACATTTTTCTCCCGCTTCAGGCTCCATCAATGTCACGGCGGCCATGGCGTTTCTCCTGGCCCTCTTCTCTCACATTCTGAACCACGTGTTGATGAGACTTCAGGCCCGCATGGACGATCTACAACACCCAAACAAGATTCTGCTTGCTGGCTCGGCCTTGTCTAGTGAGTGAAGCCCTGTTTCTCTTATGCGTGAGGCGTGCTATCAAAATGAGTTACTTCTCCCAATCTAAGAATGGAGATATCTGCTGAAATTCGACGCTGAGGTCAGATTTATAAATTTTCAATTGAGGCCATTTGCTTCAAGTCTACCGAGTCTTTTATTATTCCACACTTACAAATTGTACAAACTCCACCTATAAAGTTGATGAATCAATTGCCAGAAGGCTAAAATCTGACAAGTAACTCATTTTGTCAGTATATCTCACAAATGTCTTGTGGTCCTTTTCTTGTGAAAAGCCTTAGATTTTTCTTGTAAGCAGTGAGTTACCCATGATTTCTCACCTCTCACGATCTTTGTATGGGAAAGTAACAGAAGCGCGGCCTTTGTTAGGTACAAAGGCACCCAATATTTTATTCCTGCAACCTTTTTAATAATTTTTTTTCCTTTCTTTTTCTAATTTTGCTGCCTCCACTTTTCCTTCCCAGCCCCCTTTAATCTAAGATAAAAAGCCGACAGACACCCCCGTTTGTCTCCTGCTTACTCAAAGGGTTTGCTTCGGCGCTTATATGACCTTATTGTGTTGCAAGTGCCGTAAAACGCTTACTAAAACAAACAAGTGCTCAAAGGTTTTTGTTTTTCTCGTGATATCCTCAGTCTCGCTTGTGAAAAACCATTTGAAGGAGCGCGAGGAAATCTGAGTCGTCTGTTTGAGAAAAATGCGAAGAGATTCTATGACCTCAACAAGCAGGGAGCCCGCGACCAGCCTCCGGGGGAGCAAAAGTAAGCTCAGAATAAAATGTTTTCTTTTTCTTTGTTGTCGGAAGTCTTTTGAATTAAAAGAGAAAAGTTCAAGCATAATAGAGTGAAAGTTTTAGAGAGGGTTAGAATTATATTTTAGTAAGTAAGTTTATTGAGTGTTTAAGGCCATTGGCCCACATCACGGCGCATTAAACTCTCATTTGTTAGATAAAGTTTCCATAGTGAAAGGGTATGTGTAAAATTGTGGGTGGTTGGTGGGTGCTCTGGTGTAGTTTGCTCCTTGTTTCTTATCAAACACCTGTCGTCCTGATCTCTCCTCCTTTTTTATATTTGTTACTCTCTTGTAACACATCTAATCTTCGACACTTATATGACCTTATATAGTGTTGCAAGTTCCGTAAAACTCTTACTAAAACTAAAACTGAACTGGTAGAATTACATTTAAGACACAATGGAAGTGATAAAGAGAGAAATTCTAAAGAGTCGAAAAATTTATGTAAAAGAATAATGGTTTGTCCTGTTGCTTTTTTTAATTTTCTGCAGATCCCAAGACATTAAAAGATTTCTGACACGCTTTTTGAAACTGCTGGAAATTTTCCATGGGGGCAGCCCAAAGTAAGTACCGTCGAACCTGTCCAAGATGACCGTCCATTGTTGAGGAGAGAAGTGGTCTTCTTAGACAGTGCCATTATAGTGTTTGTGTTTGTGTGTGGCTGGAGAAAGGCCCCAGTTGTCAGAAAGTTGGGATATTAAAATAAGACGATATTCTTTGTAGCAAATTCAGTGCTGTACATATTAATTGTTTAAAATGTTTTATATATCTTAGTAATTTTAAAGATGTGCCGCGCGCTCATATGACCTTATTGTGTTGCAGGTACCGTAAAACCTCTACTAAAACTAAACTATCTT